CCCCCAAGCCCAGGACCTTCCGTTCGCCCCTCACCTCCTCTTCCTCCCATCAGACCTCATCCCCTTTGTCAAGGTGAGCCCTCCTTGTATTCCACCCTCCTTCTCCACACTCTCTTTTTCTCGGCCCCTTACCCACTAAGACACCTCTCAACCTCTCCTGCTGCCCCCAAGCTCTGGACCTTCCCTTTGCACCTCACCTCCTCTTCCTCCCATCTGACCTCGTTCCCTTTGTCAAGGTATACCCCCTTCGCCCCCACCCCATTTCTCCACTTCTCAGTGCTTCCCCACACTCCCTTCCTCTCTCCCCCCTCCCCTCGCTTGACACCTGAGTCGACTCAAAAGTCAATTCCATTTTGGAGTCACTTTTGAGAATCCTCAAAAGTGGATACTCTTCATTCCTCTCCTCACCTCCTCGTCCTACCATCCGATCTCACCCCGCTGGTCAAGCTGACTTTTGAGTCGATTACCATCGGACCTCACCCCGCTGGTCAAGGTGAACCTCTTGCCTGTTTTTCAGGTGCCTCTACAAATTTTCAGGCGCCATTTTTTTTTTTTTTGTCGGGCAGCTAAAAAGGAAAAGAACAGGCTTATACGAAATTATGGCGAACCTCTTCTGCCTATTGTAGTAAAACGTGCTGTTCGCTGCTCTCTAGTAGAATGTGATGTCTTTTGCTCTGTTGCATACCTTTTTTTCGCCTTTCTTGCTCGTTCCTCTTGGGAATATACTTGCACCGCGTAACGAATCTTGTTTGCATGTGTGTGTCTGGTTGTGTCGCTTTTTGTTTTCTCTGCAGGTTTTGCCTATGCAGCCTCCACCACAAGAACAGCACCAGCAACAGCAGCAGCAGGAAGCAGCTGCTACTGCACCAGTGACAATCCAACCTGCTGTATTGCCATCAGTGGCATCAGGTAATGCGGGCTCAGGTCTCCCAACTGCTGCGACAACACAAGCTGGAGCGCAAACCACTAAGCCAGACGCAGCGTCACTAGCAACAGCAGCTGCAGTCTCACCGCATGCACCGACACTGGCACAAGCAGCAGCGCACGCAGCAACAGCTGAAGCCAAAGGAGCTGGTTCGCTGTTTCAACCTGTCTGCATAAATCCTGGACATCTTGCAAAGGGATCCGGAGGGGGGACATTTGCAGAGGTGGTAATCAAGGGGGGCCTTGGTGGCAAAGAGGATGAGGCTCCCTTTCATGAACGAGCTGCTGTACATATCTATCGCATTTAGTCGTAGGTGGGTACTTCAATAGTTGCCTATTTGACACAATCATCCATCCTGGGGGCTGGGAATTCTTTTCATGAGCAAGGTGCTGTTTATAACTTTCGTATTTTAGTTTGAAGTTCCATAAATTGCATGACCTCTTCACTGCAACCTCTAGGTTTTTATAAAGCGTAATGCAAGCCTCGATTCTCCCTGCAACGCCATGTGGCAACGCCAAGTTTTGGCGGGAGAAATTCACCACCATCAGTTTCTGAATCCAGATTTTTACACATTCGTGATGCGACGCGAAATTTTGCTCGGACTGGTGGGCAACCCGACTCCAGCGAAAATCAAGATTCGAGGTGGATTTGGCACGAAGAATCGAGGCCGTCGAATCCACTTACCAAATGCCCTCTTACCCGAAACTCTGGCCTTCATCATCTGCTTCTTGTCCCCACTGCCTGCTTTTGCCTGCATCGAATCACCCACACGCACTGCCTGCATCTATTGGCGCCATTCGCAATTGCTGGGGTATGCATTCGGCGGTTTGCCTTCCATTCCGTTGCCTTCCTTTCTTCCCACCCGGCAACCTCTCTAGTTTCCCGTTTTCCCGTTGTATCACGTTTGTCACTGCAAACTGCAGCTGCTGCTGTTGCTGCTGCTGTGGCTGCTTCTCTCGTAGCCCTTGTCCGTCCTGTCTGTTCGCAACATGTGCATCCACGCGTGCTTGCTTTTCAGTAGAAAGAGGGGGGTTGGCGAGGGACATGCCTCGTCTCATTCTAACCAAATCACATGTGATTTCCTGTGTAACACACCAGCCTGCGGAGTTCACACCGCCACTTCACTCACCTCGTCAGTGTTTTAAAGTCATCAGCAGAACTCCTTCGCATACAGCAGATTACGAAACTGTAGAGTGAGAAACCGTAGATTACGCCAGCCACTATGGCGCGATCTACGCCACCTACCGAAGCACCCTTCGATTCAAATACAGTACCCCGCACGTGCTGCCCTCTGTTCACGGCACAGCAGTGGCGGCTCCGATTACGTGTATTCAACCCGAGCCGAGTCAACTCCCTGCCACGTGGCTGCCAGCAGTTAGATACGTCACTGCCGCCAGTCACAGTGAGTGGCAGAACTGCACAGCTGTTTGGTGCTCCCTTGGTACAGTACCGTGTAGCCAACCAAAACAGCCTAAAATGCGGCTGTACAGACGTAGGAGCTAGCATCCCTCTGTGGAGCCATAAACGGCGGCTCGATCCGTCGAGAATGCGTCTCTTCTCTAACAGCCTGCCTTGGCTCGACCGCTTCCCCCCACCCCTCCCCCCCAACCCCCCTTTTCCCCCAATCCCTGCCAAGATGCCTTCTCACCTCAGGCAATGCCTAGCACGAGCCACGTCGGCCCTGCAATGATCTTGTCTTTCTTACAAGGAAAGAAGGGCGATCACGCAGGTGCCGATCGGCTGGAGATGCATGTACAGTACCGAGCGGCGCCGATTCCGACTTGCGCTGATCGCCGGTTTGAGATATCTTTCATATACTTCTGCCTAAGTGAATGAATAGCTAAGATCTTACTGCTGGAAATCCTATTTTCAACCACTGATTATCTCCGACGCTGCGGTATCATCCAGCGACGGACCCTGCCCAGGATATCTGTAAGTCTCGATCTGCTTTTGCCAGGAATGGACGGTTCGACAGGCGCCGCCAATTCTTACGCCGCACTTGGCGGCAGCCGCAGGTCGTTGAGTGCGTTACCCCTCTCGACTATCCATGAGGGTGCGAGCCGCTGGCGACGGCGACCATCCATCCATGAGGCGACGACGGCGACGGAATCGTCAGTGGCGCCGTCGTCGCTGCCGTCGTCGTCGTCGTCTGCGACGTCATCGCCGCGAAGGGAGCAGCAGCGCGAAAGCTTGCGACAGCTGCGGGAGCGGATGGCGCAGATCGACCGGCGGCTCGCAATGCGATTGGCGGAAGCCGATGCGGCAACGCGCCGCGGCGCAATGATGACAGTGACCCCCCCGTTTGACTCGCCACTGCATGATGCGGAGCGATCAGCGCATCACCACGATTCGGTATGCCGGATTTTCCCGCTCGGTACAGTCACAAAGCAGCGCAAGAGCTGCTGCGAATTCGACAGCGGCTCTTCAACCAGTAGTAACCCCGAAGCAGCAGCAGCTCTAGTGTTTCCAAAAGCCGCGTCCGATCCTGGGCCAGACCCGCTTCCGCGAGCCGCTTCGCTAGGAACTGTCAGAAGACGCCATCCTTTCCGTGTTCCAGGTGGGGAAACCCTAAATGCGGCAGGTTCGACGCGGCTGCTTGCAGGGACGCGGAGTGGCCCGGCGACAGTGGTAACTTCGACCGACGGTCACCGTGACTTCTCCGCGTCACGCCCCGCTAACGCAGCAGGCGGCCGTGCGATTGCTCACGACGCGGTTTCGGATGAAACGCTGATTGCTATCGCGGCAAATAGGGTATCTAGAATCGGCAAAGGCGGCGGACACTTGGAGGCTAAATTGGCTGGGCATAAGCGATCGTCGCCTCACCCTGGCAGCGAGGCGCCCCTTTTTATTGAAAGCAGCGGGGATGTCTTAAAGCTCGAAAACTCTAGCAACTCCCTCGTACCGCCGGAGTTAGAAGGGGCCGAGCGCTATGTGCGGAGGGTAGCAGGTGCTATGGATACAGGTGGAGGTGTGCGGCTGTTCGGTAGAGAGGAGTGCCCAAGTGTTGACGGCCTGAAGTTTTCCAGCTGGGAGGCTGCTGTTACAGCAGTAGTAATATCAACGCTAGTGGGAATTTTGATTATAACTCTTGTTACCCTTTTCCTGCCATGGTAGGCAGTGTTCTTATAAATCTTGCCCTTTTCTACATGGCAGTGTCAGTTTCACTGGAGTATTTTACCATGCTTCCAAATGCTGTGTTGCGTATCTTCATTGTAATTTCTAGCCGCACTTTTACTTCCCACGCATATAAAAACACATTGCCACTATTTCCACATGGTAAGATTCACCTCATTTTGCTTTTTCATTAGAATGCATGGATGTCATTGCCTATATTCCAGCTAGTGAATGGTGTAGAATTTTGACTCCATGAGCGCGTCGAGTTAACTTTGGATCGAAACACTACCCAACCGTTCAATCACGCAAAGCATCTCATCAAACCGCAGTCAACGAACTATTGAATTCACTATTTCCGTCCCAGCCAGCCCCTCAGAACTGACTAGGACATGAGCCGCCTAGGCGGCAATGCTCTCTAATTAGGCTGACTGCATTGCGGTTTGCCGCAGGCTTCTGCGCCACTTGATGATTGGAAAGGCACTTCGGCGACCTATCGATCTAGGTCGAAGTTATCCTCTGCATTGATTGACAGTGAGCTGGCCCGAAGCGCTTCTTAGTACGCGTCATTTACCAGTGAGCTCTTGACAGTGAGCTCGCACAATTACCAGTCATCAGCCCGCAAGGATACTGATCAGTCGTTCCGTTTGAATGAATAGGATCCCTTGACGTACCTTTCGAGAGTTCTCAAAAACAAAAAAACATTGGAAATCCTGGTATCGTTGTGCCTGAGTAGGATCCCCGTGACGTACCGCGATAATGTAAAGGACGATGGGCGTTTGACGACCAGAGCTCAGGGTTGACATAGGATAGCGCGTGTGAACAGGATTTAACGCCTCAGCGTCGCCTAGGCTAGGCACCAGGAAACGCAGCAGCAGGCAGCAGCATTAGCTGGAATTCCGTGAAGGTGCAGTCCGGTGCAGTCCGGTGCAGTCAGGTGCAGTCCCGTGCAGTGCGCTGCAGCATGGCCAACGCTCTGGAAGATCTCGAGAAAACCCTCGAGGTAATCGGCTCGGCTTGCTGCTGGTTTGCTGCGTTGTTCTGCACACTTGGCGCGCGCTGCTTGTTCACTGCGCTGGCTCGGCGCGCTGCTTGTTCACTGCGCTGGCTCGGCGCGCTGCAGCTCAATTTCTACGCTGGTTAGGCTGGTTCGTACGCCCTGGCGGTAGAGCCTTTGCATGGTTGTCATCCTTTTTTGGGATGGTCTCCTCCCCCTCGCTCTCTCCAGACGAGCTCCCAGGTGCACGGGTCAGGCCTCGACGCCCTCGTCGAGGCACCTCAAACGTTGTCTGAGCATGTGTATGTGCTCTCCCCTCTCTTCCTCCAAACCAGCTCCCAGGTGCACGTGCCAGGCACGTGTGCATATGGGCTCCACCTCCACCTCCTTTTTCAGTCACCTCAGCAGCCTCCTTCGCATCTCTCTCCTCCCCTCTCTTCCCGTCCCTCTCCCTCCAGACCAGCTCTCAGGTGCACATATCAGGCCTCCACCCCTCCACCCCACCCCTCCTTTGACAGCCACCCCCCTGTTGCCTCTTCTTCCTTACCTCAGCAGTCGCCTGTGCTTGTGTGTCCTCCCCATTCCCCCTCTCCCCCTCTCCCCCTCTCCAGACCAGCTCCCAAGTGCACGTGTCAGGCGTCCCCTCCACCCTACTTCCCCATTCACAGCCATCCTCCTGTTGCCTCTTCTTCCTTACGTCAGCAGTCGCCTGTGCTTGTGTGTCCTCCCCTCTCCCCCTCTCCACACCAGCTCCCAAGTGCACATATCAAAGCTTCCACCCCTCCGGTCGAGCTCTCGAGTGCACATATCAGGCCTCCACCCCACCCCACCTCGCCATTGACAGCCATCCCCCTGTTGCCTCTTCTTCCTTCCCTCAGCACTCGCCTGTGCTTGTGTGTCCTCTCCTCTCCCCCCCACAGACCAGCTCTCAGGTGCACATATCAGCCCTCCACCCCTCCACCCCACCCCTCCATTGACAGCCATCCCCCTGTTGCCTCTTCTTCCTTACCTCAGCAGTCGCCTGTGCTTGTGTGTCCTCCCCTCTCCCCTTCCAGACCAGTTTTCAGGTGCATATATCAGGCCTACACCCCTCCATCGACAGCCACCCCCCTGCTGCCTCTTCTTCCTCCCCCACCCTGATTACACTGCTGCTTTCAAGGCGCTAGCATTCTTTCTTTGTCCTTCCCTCCCTCCAGACCAGTTCACAGGTGCAAATATCAGGCCTCCACCCCTCCATTGACAGCCACCCCCTCTGCTGCCTCTTCCTTACCTCAGTAGTCGCCTGCGTGTGTGTGTCCTCCCTTCCCTCCCTCCCCCCAAGCAGACCAGCTGTCAGGTGCAAATATCAGGCCTCCACCCCTCCATCGACAGCCAACCCCCTGCTGCCAAAGCGGTGCGTCAGGAGAGAGAGAAGCTGGAGTTGTGGTTGTCGAGTTGACTCAATAGTTGGTCATTCAGCAGTTTCACGACCACCGGGTGGGTGCTGGTGCACCAGGTGAGATCAGGTGCAGTGCGGTGGAAAGCGGTGCAAGGAAAGAGAGGAGATGGGGTTGTTTTGTAAGTGCTGGGTCGACTCAGCAGCTGCATGACGACTGGGTGGGTGCTGGTGCACCAGGTGAGATACGGTGGAGTGTGGCACAAAGTGGTACACCGGGAAAGAGGAGATGAAGCTGGTGATCCAGATGGGGTGGTGTGATCGTTGAGTTGGTTCAGTATTTGAGCATTCAGCAGCTGCACGGCACAGGTTGATGCTGGTGCACCAGGTGAGATGCGGTGCAGTGTGGTGCAACATGTTGCATTAGCAGGAGTTGTGATTGTGAAGTCAACTCAGCAGTTGATCATTCCGCAGCTGCACGACCACAGGTTGATGCTGGTGCTCCAGGTGAGATGCGGTGCAGTGTGGTGCAACATGGTGAATTAGCAGGAGTTGTGATTGTGAAGTCAACTCAGCAGTTGATCATTCCGCAGCTGCACGACCACAGGTTGATGCTGGTGCTCCAGGTGAGATGCGGTGCAGTGTGGTGCAACATGGTGCGTTAGCAGGAGTTGTGATTGTGAAGTCAACTCAGCAGTTGATCATTCCGCAGCTGCACGACCACAGGTTGATGCTGGTGCTCCAGGTGAGATGCGGTGCAGTGTGGTGCAACATGGTGCATTAGCAGGAGTTGTGATTGTGAAGTCAACTCAGCAGTTGATCATTCCGCAGCTGCACGACCACAGTTTGATGCTGGTGCTCCAGGTGAGATGCGGTGCAGTGTGGTGCAACATGGTGCATTAGCAGGAGTTGTGATTGTGAAGTCAACTTAGCAGTTGATCATTCCGCAGCTGCACGACCACAGGTTGGTGCTGGTGGTGCTCCAGGTGAGATACGGTGCTCAAACTTGCCAGTGACGAGATTTATGACACCTTGAAAGCCAGTGACGTGCACATGCGCATGCGTGTCCTCCAAACTCTCTGCTTTACTGCCACAGGACTCCTACCACAGGTTGAGAGAGGAGGGGCTGAGCTGGAACTTGCCAGTGACGGCATTTATGACGCCTGGAAGGCCAGTGACGTGCACACGCACATGCACGGAAAGCCTGAAACTTCCCCAAACTCTGTACTTGCACGCTTGTTGTCTTGCATGCTGGCAGGACTCCTTTCACCGAGGGTTGACAAAGGTGGAGCTGAACCTACGCATGCATGCCAGTGACGAGGTTTGAGATGCCTCTTGTAGAGAGGGTGTTTTTGAGACGTCTCAAGAACACCCTCTCTACACGTGTCCTTTCACCGAGGGTTGACAAAGGTGGAGCTGAACCTACGCATGCATGCCAGTGACGAGGTTCGAGGTGCCTCAAGACCCATTCATGACGACATGCGTGTTCCCCAAGCTCTCGGCTTGCGTGCTGGCAGGACTCCTTTCACCGAGGGTTGACAGGGGAGGAGATGAACTGGCTTTCAAGGCGTCACTGGCAGGTTCAGCTCCTCCCCTTTCGAGCCAGTTACGCCATTTGTGATGCGAGGGTTGGCACGGGAGGAGATGAACTGAAGCATGCCAGTGACGACATTTGTGACGCCTTGATAGACAGATGCAACGAGCTTGCCCCCCTTACTTTCTGCTTTCTTGCTTGTTCGTTGTCCTGCGTTCTGACAGGATTCCTTCTAATGCGGATTGACAGAGGAGGAGGTGAAGCATGCCAGTGACGACATCTGAGGCGCCTTATAAGCCAGTGACATACACATGCGACATGCGTGTTCCCCAAACTCTCTGCTTGCTGGCTGAGAGGACTCCTTTTCCCAAGGGTTGACAGAGGAGGAGCTATTTCAGGCATAGGAATGTTCACTAAAGTGAAAACCCCGTTTGTTTTCGCTTGCCTTTTTCCTCGCTTGCTTGCATGCTGACAGGATTCCTTCTACCGTGGGTTGACAGAGGAGGAGTGATTTTGGTGCGGTAAGCTGGAAACTCTGCGTGTTCTCACTTGCTTCCTTCCGTGCTTGCTTGCTTGCTTGCATGCTGACAGGATTCCTTCTACCGAGGGTTGACAGAGGAGGAGCTTAAACGTGCGAGCGATTTCAACTTCGACCATCCTGGTAAGCTAGTAACCAGTCATTGGTTCTGGTATCCGTGTGAAATAATATTGTTTTTCAGACGTCTCTAAAATAATCCTATTGCTCGTCATCCATCCTGGTAGGATGGTAACCACACAGCTCACTCAGTCGGGTATGCATTGGAATACCACTGTTCACGTGGTGCTGGTGGTAACCACCACCCCGTGTCTTGCAAGTTGACAGAGGAGGAGGTGAAGCGTGCCAGTAACTTCAGCTTCGACCATCCTGGTAACCACAGCTCAGTTTGTATGGGTATGCTTAATTACCACTGTGAGCGGTGCTGGTGGTAACCACTACCCCGTTTTAGGGAATTTTGAAAAACCCCTTGAGAACTCTTAAAACTCCTTGCGAATTGTCAAAAAGCATCCTTAGCCTGTGTGCATATGGTTACCACTGTATGCGGCGCTGCTGATAACCACCACCCCGTTTCTTGCAAGCTGGCAAAGGAAGAGCAGAAGCGTGCTAGTAACTTCAACTTCAAAAGTCCTGGGTAAGTTGGAAACCAGTCACTCAGTCAAGTTTCTACCCTTGTTGCTCTCAAGGAGGGTTGATCAATAGACTGATTGACCATCGTGGCGCTACCTCACGACTTTCAAGTCGCCTCGACAGTTTCCACCCTTGTTGCTCTCAAGGAGGGTTGATCGATAGACTGATTGACCATCGTGGCGCTACCTCACTTGTGTTCACGTGCCTCCTTCCCTCGTCTCCTCCCTCTGCTTCCTCCCTCTGCCTTCTCCCTCTCCCCCTCCCCACTGGTCCCCTACCTTTGACTTCCCTTCATCCTCCCTCTACCTCCTCCCTCTGCCTCCTCCCTCTGCCTCCTCCCTCTACCTCCTCCCTCTGCCTCCTCCCTCTGCCTCCTCCCTCTGCCTCCTCCCTGACTGCTCCCCTCCCTCCCTCACTCCCCTCAGTCCTATTTGACACGGACGCTCTGCTCTCAACCCTCTGCACTAAACTCTCATTGCTCTTTAGGAACGTTGATATGTGGCGATCCTAGTGGATGATTTCAATGTCTTTTCTACCTTGCTTTTGCACTCTTATCAGCACTCATAATTTGTTACGTTTTTCTTGACATCATATGTTCCTGCAGCTGTGCCTCTGCTTCCTGCTGTTATGGCGATTGAGTCGGTCTTACGTTTCGATGCGGAGGGTCGTGCGATCGACTTCGATGAGTGGCTGCTCAAAGTCAAGCTCTACCTGACGAGCCAGGTTCAGCAGGGCGTCTCCTTGTACGACCAAGCTTCGGGTGAGCTCCCAACCCCGCCGTGTCCTTCTGATCTTGCCGCCGCTGACGCCACGCCGGCGCAGAAGGAGGAATACCGCGCGGCTAGCCTGGAGTACAGCCGCTGGAAGGCACGCGACGCTGCTGCACGCCTCGCCATCCGCCGCCACCTCCCGCTGGCCGAGCGGGGGCATTTCAACCAGGTGAAGACGGCGAAGGAGTGTTTGGATGCTGTTATCGCTCGCTACTCCACTCCTTCGCCTGGTACTTTAGGCCGCCTCTTTCTGCCCTTCCTATTTCCTGATCTCCCTTCGTTCCATACCGTCGGTGACCTGGTCAGGCACCTGCGCTCGCTTGACGCTAGGTTCCGTGCTGCTTGCACTACTGAGTTTCTTGCTAAGAATCAGCCCCCCATGTATATCACACTGTATCTCCTCGCGACCCGCCTTCCTGACCGCTTCGTGGCTGCCCGGGACCACTTCCTCACTGTGCACCCCACGACCCTCACTATCGACCTCTTTGAGACGCGTCTCACTGAGATCGAGACTCCCCTACGCACCCTAGCCTTCGTTCATGGTACGGTGCTTCCCCCTATCTTTGAGGGGTGCGCCCCGTCTCTGCTCCGTGCCTCCGTTGCCTCTGCTGCTGGAGTTGAGCGTGTTGCCCCGACGAAGATTGCAGCAGTTGCTGCCTCTGGTGGGCAGCGACGTCGCAAGAGTGGTCGTAGGAGTGGAGGGGGTGGAGGTGGTGGAGGCGGTGGAGGTGCTGGTACGTCTGGGAGGTCTGGCGCTGGAGGAGTTTCCGGGTTTGGTGGTACGGCCAGATGAGGTGCTGGTCCTGGGTGTGTGGCAGTGACGCAGCAGCAGCAGCAGTCGTCGCAGCAGCATCAGCGGATTCATCAGTGGGCCTCCCAGCAGCAGTGGGGACCTGGTGGCCTCGGGAGCATCGGCCACGGTGGCGGCCCGGACAGCTGGGTATCGCATCGCCGGGACGTCGGGCCCTGCCAGTACCGACTTCTAACTGGTCCGGACGCTGGCACAGTCTGCAGGCGTCACGATCACTCCGCTGCGCGCTGCTTCCGCCGTCTCGACGACCTCTATCGTGACGGCTTTGGCCCTCATGTGGTCACCCCTGACTGGTTTGCGCTGTTGCAGCGTGGTTTGCCTGTGTTTACTATGGACATTTCTTATGTTTAATCTGCTTGCCGGCATGATCATCTTTTTATAACCTTGCATGCCTTCATCTGCACCCGCACCACTCCGGCATGACTATGGGTACAGTACACATGAGCTTGGCCATTGTTATCTCGTGCTTTATGCTATTGACGTGCAAAAGTGGAATCTCCAATCGGTACGGCTGACAATCATGAGCACCTTCCTTTGAGCCACCAACCAACCTCAAGCCCACGGTTTTTGCTACAGTTGCAAGCCAGCTTGCCTGGACACAACCACTGTCATTCATGCACTTACATTTCTACAATAGCTACAGGCTAGGCAGCCCTCGTGTGTCTTGTCAATAGGACAGTGCGCGCTTTCAGCAGTTACTAACGTGCTTGAAATGTTGTACGTTTCTTTGTTCAGAGCCAGTTACACATTCAACATACGGTAGCTGGCAGGCCTCTGGATAGGATTTGAGATGGTCTTTCCCATAAGGCCAACATCCTAGTTTCACTCTTTCAATCAGGGTACAAATTCAGAACACACTTATAAATCAGGGTGGAACTTAAAACAACTACTAAATTGTTGCTTTAGAAGACAGTACCCACGGATTATGGTGTCTAGTTGTATAGGAGGAATGATTTGTAGTGAGCACCCACGTTCGAGACCCGCCGTAGGCTCTCGCCACTATTCTTTTTTCAGTACCGTCAGTGTAAGTACATGGAGTTGTTCAAAAGCACTCTGAAATATCAGTGTCGTAAAACTAAACACTTTTTCTTGTAAGGGTCAATGAAAAAGCCACTCTGGAAAAAAAGGGCACTGACACTTGCATTCAGATTCTTGCTGGCACATTTTCACAAATCCATTCCATGTTTGTGTTTTTCAACATATTAGGCAATTATGTTGCACCATCTGAAACAGAAAGTCGGGAATCATTGCTACATGAACCTTCACATACTGCAGCACCTTCAGCTGCGTCAAATCATATGGTAATAACTTCAATCGCACACAACCAAACAGGATGAGCATCCTCAGCCATGTGGCAGTGCTGGTGGCAGTGCTGGTGGCAGTGGCATAGAGGGGAGTGATGGAGGGAGTGAGGTGGGATGCTGCAAGAGGAGGGGAGAGAGTTTGGGAAAGGGTAACAATTACTAACTTAAGTTACAACATAAATAGTGCAGTTTACCATGGTGCATGATACTACAAGTGGAAATGATCAAGGAAAAAGGTGCAAAGAGTTTTGAGGCACCTCAATACCTCTCGTAAGGTACCAGTATTTACCGAGGACATCTATCCTCTCCACTGCTTCATCTCTACTCATCCCCCCTCCCCTCTCACGATTCCTCCTCTCCACTCACCCTCTCCCCCTATTGACTCACCATCTCCTCCTCCACACTTAGCATAGGAGCGTGAATGCGAGTGTGAATATGATTTGATTGTGATTGGGGTTGGGAGTTGGGAGTGTAGGCATGGTTTGTATGTGACTGTGTGAGTGAGCCTGGGTATAAGTGGGAGTGTGTGTGTTTGTGTGTGTGTATGTGTGTGTGTGTGTCTGTGTATGTGTGTGTGTGTGTGTGTGTGTGAATAGTACTATGCGTGTGAGTGAGGGGGGGGAGTGCGAGTCTGAGACTGCTCAATGCAGCAGCAAGGCAGCAAGGAAAGAGTTGACCCCCTCTGAGAACACCAACAGGTTGGCTTTGGAGGGAGCGTGGGTAGGAGATTGGGTGGAAGTGTGGTTGGGAGTGTGGGCAGGAGTGTGGATGGGAGTGTGGGGAGAAATGTGGGCATGGCAAAACGAAAAAAAGATGAGTTGAAAGAGGAAGTTGGGGGATGTTTTAAAAGCACACAGACAAGCCATGTGAGCCCTCCTCAGACAAGCACAGAGAGCACATGGGAAGCTGGGCTTGCACATATTGCTGGCTTCGTAGGTATTCAAGTGGCGATGTAAGTGGTGAGATAGCAGGTGAGATCTTTGTGGTGCCAGTGGTGGCAGAGGTGCGGAGCGGAGAGGGAGAGGCGAGTGCGGCAAGATGCAGCGGTCGCACTCCTGAGATGATTTTTGGGGTGAGAGAAAGCAAGGAGCGGATCTGGGAAGGAATGAAGGGGAAGTGTAACGATGATGGACAGGAGGAGTTGGAGAATAATGTGCCTGATCGTGGAAATGAGGATGATGAGGAGGATGAGGATGATTAGGATAATGAGGATGATGAGTTTTGAACGGCTCAAAACTGCATGATGAGGATGATGAGGAGGATGAATATGATCAGCATAAAGAGCACAATGAGCCTGCGTCTGCACAAAAGTATAAATTATTGACATGATTGAACAGTGTCAAGGACAAAGCTGGCTCACACACACTATCTGCAACCATTGAGGTGTATTTTGACGGCCCTCAAGTGACATGATAGAACATTGTCAAATCAAAGAGTAAGAACACAAGGAAAAAAGATGAGTTCAAATCAAAGAGGAAGAACACAAGGAAAAAAGATGAGTTCAAATCAAAGAGGAAGTTGGGGGATGTTTAAAAAACACACAGACAAGCCATGTGAGTTTCTCCAGACAAGCACAGAGAGCACCTGGGAAGCTGGGCTTGCACCTGCTGGCGGGGTGGAGAGGGGAGAGGGAGAGGTGAGTATTTTTGAGAATTCTCAAAGATATTTTTGAGAATTCTAAAAAATACTCTACATCACCTGGGAAGCTGGGCTTGCACCTGCTGGCGTGGTGGAGAGGGGAGAGGGAGAGGTGAGTGAGGTAAGATGCCGCAACTTCTGAGTCGACTCAAAAGAGATCTTTGTGGTGCCAGTGGTGGCGGCGGTGGAAAGGGGAAAGGGAGAGGCGAGTGAGGCAAGATGCAGCAGTCGCACTTTCATGTTGTCTCTTGGGGCGAGGAGAAGCAAGGAGCGGACCTGAGAAGGAAGGAGTGGGAAGTGTAATGATGATGGACAGAAGGAGTTGAAAGACAGTCTGTCTGATCGTGAATATGAGGATGATGAGGATGAGATTGCGTCTGCACAATATGATGAATTGCCGACTTAATTGAGAATTATCAAGGACCAAGCTGGCTCACTATTCTGCGCAAATCTCAGAAATCCTACCTCAGATCTCACTTTGATCCATTCATTTCCACTTCCTCCCATCCTTACGGCATTGGGAATTCTCAAAAGTAGTTCTACTATTTTAAAGAGACTTCTCCGTTCTCAATGATCACATCTTCCCACCTTTTTCTGCCACTCAAAATATATTCCTCTCTCTCCACCACCTGTAGCACATCCTCTATCTCAGCCCTGGCTACAGCCTGGAAAGAAGAGAGGGAGAGGAGGATGGAGGGTGGGCTGGGGAAGGAGAGAGAGGCACTTATGGCAGGCCGTCTGCTCTGGGAAGTGGAGAGGAAAGGGCAGCACAGGAGAGTAGGGAGGAGATTAAAATCACTTGTGAGAATTCTCAAGAGTAGGGAGGGGATTAAGCGAGCCGGAAGGAGGCGGAGGGGTGAGTTTAAGGCAGAGAGGTGCTGTTCAGGAAAAACTGGGGCAGACTAGGTAAGTCTTGGCCTTTCAGGAAAAACTGGGGGAAAAATAGGCACAAACCCTCTCAGCCCACCCCCTCAACCCACCCTCCTCA